ATATTGTAATGTGAGCAATTTCATTATTCAGTCATGCTCTAATTCTCCAAGGCCCTCTCTGTCTTATTTGGCCTTTGAGGCTCAACTTGTCCGATTATCATACATAATTAAACCCCTTTAGACCAAACATATGTGACGACTATGGCGGAGGCACTTTTGCGAATATTCCTGAGTCATCGTGATAATATTTCTGGTCTATTCCAGATATGAGATGTTTTGGTGGAGGAGCATTCTGGAACACCAATTTGTATATAAATATTGATGGAGGATCAACGAAATTCATTAGTTATTATATGGACAGTGAAGATAAATAGTGAACACTAAACAAACATCACAATATTTTCAAGCCTTATATTTAGGTAAAGTTAAAGCACGTAGTACTTGGATTTAGGAAAATTCACACAGGTTTTGGGCTTGGTACAATGTCGTTTCTAAATCCGATCCTGGGTATAATATACAGGGTATCCGAAAAATATGATCAAGTAATTCTGGGAGTGACTCTGCGCCAAAAAAAATAAATTAAACTTTATATAAACATATAGGTGGAAAAATAGAGCCATTTGTAATTGCTCTTCAAAACAAACCTGATCTGCTAAATAATCTCTTATCTGACTGCAAAAAGATGAATGTCGTGTTTTTTACTTGATATTTGTAGTGGAGTACAGAGCAGGGGGTGAATAACATACAGGTGGACCAATCTTGTGGAAAAATTCGATATCTTCCTTGTTGAAAGAGATATTAAAAAAGTGTATTAAGAAAATTATGGACAGGTTTGAGGTTACCATTTTAAAATTATTGGGATGTATACAGGGTGTTGCATAGCTCGTGTACGAACCAAACATGTTTTTTTAATGTTAACCTCAGTATATTATTTTAGATTCTGCTTACTCATCTTTTTTCCATTCTTCTAATATATGGTTTGTCTATGTTATATAGGGTACTTTTCAAGGAATTGACATCTTTGTGAGAGAATCGTACATAATTCAACGTCCAGCAGCCAATTACACACTGTAGGAAAAAATTTTACCCACACGAATTTTATAATATGATGTAGGTATTATACTTTTTTTAATTATATTTTTATTATCTGTTTATTCGTATACAGGGAGACTCAATACTCAGACCCTTGATTTTCTTGTTTTATTTAAATGGGACACCTTATATTTTATATCACCAGTAAAATCATCTGTCCTAAGCCTTTCATTTTTATTAAGCATTCCCCCTATACCTGCAGTAAATAATTATTGATATTTTTAACATTAAATGAAAATTATGGTTATTTCGATAAATTGATCTAGTTTTTCATAAAAAAAAAAATCTTTATCAACAGTCTTAAATAATATGTGTGAATAAAAAAAACTCAAAAACAAACAAAAAAATTAAAACATAATTATAAAAGTTGTTCAAAGTGACCTCCCATAACATTAATACAGTTTTGTAATCGAATTTCGAATGACTGACTCACATTTCTCAGCATTTGAACATCAATATACTTTGAAATACATTTCTGATTCGAGTTTTCATGTCCTCTTTTGTCGTTGCAGGCACATTATATACTTTGTTTTTTACATAACCCCACAGAAAAAAATCAATAATAATAAAAAAATCCGGTGATCGCGCTGGCCACCCTATCGGTCCTCCTCTTCCGATCCACCGTCTTGGAAAGTGATTATTTAAATAATTATGAATTACTACAGTGTAATGGACTGGTGCATCATCGTGCAAAAACCTCATTTGTTGGCGAATGTGAAGGGGAACATCTTCGAGTAACGTAGGCAAATGATTTTCAAGGAAATCCAAATATACTGCACTGTTTACTCGTCCTTCAAAAAAGTGTGGCCCTATCACATAATCACCCACAATGCCACCCCAAACATTTAAATATCACCTCATTTGGCTATGAGTGACTATAATGTGTGGGTTTGTTGTAGAATAATAGTGAAAATTATGCATATTTAAACCTCCATTTTTATGAAAAGTCGATTCATCACCAAAGAGCACAAAATCAAAGAAATTTCTTTGTTGATTAATTTTTTGTTGGGACCATTCACAAAATATCACTCTATTTTCAAAATCCCATTCAAGAAGTTCTTGATGTAACTGGATATGGAAAGGATGCATTTTATGTTTTGATAGGATTCTTTGAACAGTTCCGTAACTGACTTCTTGTTGTCTTGAAATATTTCGTTTACTAATATGCGGATCATCATAAATACTCAACAATACTTTCATTTCATTCTCTTCCGTGATAGCAGTTTTTGTTACTTGTTTTTGCTCGTATGATACAGTACCAGTACGATTAAAACGGTCCATTAGTTTTTCAAATGCCTTTTTATTTGGTTTCCGGCGTTCCGGATATCGATGGTGGTACACTCTGGAGGCAAGTAAAGAATTCTTGTTGCACTCACCTAGTATATAAATCATATCCACCATTTCTGGGATAGAAAAATTCGTATTGTTCATCTTATTATTAGTAATTTACTTAAAACATTAACACACAGGCAGTTGCTCTTGATTTTTAAAATGTTAAAATTGTCAACTGGACGGTGACAGGTATATTAAATGCATTGGCGACTAGATAAAAAATAACACATATTATTTATTACTGTTTATAAAGAGAATTTTATGAAAAACAAGTTTAATTTATTGAATAATAACCATAATTTTCATTTATTGTTAAAAAATATCGATAAATATTAACTTTAGGTATAGGGAATGCTTTATAAAAATAAAAGACTTGGAACAGATGATTTTACTGGTGATATAAAATATAGGGTGTCCCATTTAAATAAAACAAGAAAATCAAGGGTCTGAGTATTGACCCTCCCTGTATACAAATAAACAGATAATAAAAATATAATTAAAAAAAGTATAATCCGTGTGGGTAAAAAAAAATGTTTTCTACAGTGTGTAATTGGCTGCTGGATGTTGAATTATGTACGATTCTCTCACAAAATGTCAATTCCTTGAAAAGTACCCTATATAACATAGACAAACCATTTATTAGAAGAATGGAAAAAAGATGAGTAAACAGAATCTAAAATAATATACTGGGGTTATCATTAAAAAAAACATAATATGTTTGGTTCATACCCGAGCTATGCAACACCCGGTATACCTCCCAATAATTTTAAAATGTTAACCTCAAACATGTCCATAATTTTCTAAATGCACTTTTTTAATATCTCTTTCAACAAGGAAGATATCGAACTTTTCCACAAGATTGTTCCATCCTGTATGTACTATTCCCGATGGTGGGTGCGGTCATGTGACATCTTAGATTCAGGCCAGTAAAAAATGCACAATAGTTTTTCTCTAGTTTCCCCTTTTCTTATTATTAGTTATTAATAACCATAACCACTTTAGGTGTATGATTTTTATGTTTTATTATAAAATTCTGAAGTTTAGGCGCCAATCGCTGGGTACGCCCTTAAACTTTAAAATCCATTTTACTCTAAAATAGTGCATTCAATCGAAGCCAAACAAGAGTAGGTACCTTGTTTTGTAAAAAAAATACTCCAGCTTTTTTATGGTGAAATTAAAAAAATTATTGCAAACAAAAACGCAGACAGCACAAATAGGTCCATTGGACGTCCATTCGATATACAATTTTGGATGTCAAAAATGAGTTTTTTCTGGACTTCCGACATCCTCTGGATATCCCAGTGAAGTATACAAATGGCACACTTTTGACCATTCAGAGGACGTCTAATTCTGGATCAGATTTGGATGTTGAACACTGGACATTCAAAGAACGTCCAGTCCTGGATTATATTCCATTGGGACCACATGCATCCCCACTTTTACTTACACAAGTGCTCACCACATACTATTTTATATTATTAATAATTTATTTATTATTTTCGCAACCCGCTATACACCATTTCTTTTTTTTTAATTAAAAATCACTTAACCTGAGCAGGACTAGAACTCAGGACACGTGCATTATCGTTCTACGCTTTCAACCGCTAGATTTCAAACTTCTGCTGATAGAGCGAAGTGCAATATATTCAATTTATCAATTTTTAATGACCAATATATTAAAAAAAAAGAAATTTTATAGATGGGAATTATCTGGTAGGCTAAATAAATAATGACCTAAGATGGACGTCCACTGGACATCAAAATACTACTAAACTTAAAATTAAGTCCAAAAACAGACGTCCTCTGCAATATGCAGCTGTCAAATTAATCACAATAAACAGACATACACTGGATGTTCGAATATGAATATGGCTCTCAAATGGATCTTAATATGGACGTCCATTATTGGAATATGTGTGCTGTCTGGGAAGTGAGGGTTAAAATACCCTAAGCCGGCCCTGTTTAAAACATCTCTTTATGAAATTTTCAATTTCGTTGGTATTTTCTAATTCAGTATAAAATTGCAAAATTTCAATATTTTATCTTTAAACCGTTTCGATAATATATTGATCAAAAACCAAAGGCGATTTTTAAAAGGCTATAATATCTCCCTAAGAATCCGTTTGTATTCCTAAATTTATATACAAATTTTTTTTTTGCTATAGATGAGTCACTACCTGGACTTCAGGATCCAAAGAGGGGCAATGGGGTCAGTTGTCCCCACCCCCTTGAGACTATATAACGTTAGTAGTTATTGATGCTTTTAACCGTTGATATCCAACGGAAAAAATTAACCCACGCTATAAACCCAGTAAAATGACCCCACCCCTTATTGGAAAGGCCCTGGATCCGCCCCTGCGTCTGAAATTAGGTAAAAGTGTAATTTCTAAGATTTATATTTTTATTATTTAAACCGTTTAGTCAGTCGTCTTTTATTAATTCATTCTCTAAAATTACCCTGTAGGTATACCTCGAGATATAGGTACTATTATAAAATATTTTTGAAACAATTGCGCCGCTTCTTCCCATCAAAATGGTGTATTTTGTTCATCGTTGGTTTTTATAATTTTTTTAAAATTCAAGGCCACTACATAAGCAAAAAAATTAATATTATATATATTTTCGTTTAATCTCACCTGTATAATGAAAAATCGGCAAATTGTAAGGTATCTGCACATTAGAAATTTAAATAAAAATGAAACACAATTTAAAACCCTAATCAATCGATTTATAACTCATACTTTTGAAGGATTAGGTTAAATTTTTAAAATGACATTCTCATAGAATACAATCCAATAAGGTTATGACATATTAAGTGATATTTGCATCTATCAATATCAAATTATTATCATATTATTTCGAATTAAACTTCCTGACTCGCAATGCGGCGTTTTAAAATTCCCTCTTAAATTTTAGTTCAACACATCGTTCTGTAGATGCCCGCCTAGTCGATTTCCTTTCGCGTAGATGAAGTAACGTAAGCGTGGCTAATCAAGGTACAAAGAGGTAAATTTGCTTTAAAAATATTATTTCCGGTCATCCAGGTGGGTTGTTTTTGATATTTTCGTAATTTAGAAACTTGCAAGTGTCTTTAGGCCAAGTAAAAAATCGAAAAGTTGCGAGGATTGTCAAAAAAATCCAGTTCAAAAACAAAGTTGTAACACCCATTTTCACGAAAACATTCGATGTTTGAATGAGCAAATTTAATATAACTGGGTGTTATTTTATTTTTTTAGAAAAATGAGCAGCTCAGAGGAGGTATCATGGATTTCCTGGTTTTGTGGATTAAGGGGAAATGAATTTTTTTGCGAGGTTTGTATACAATTTTGTATAAAAACATTAAAAAGTTTTAATACTCATGGGGTTGTTTTAGGTTGATGAAGACTATATTCAAGACAAATTTAATCTTACAGGGCTCAACGAACAAGTGCCACATTATAGACAAGCTTTAGATATGATTTTAGATTTGGAACCAGGTTAGTTTATTTCAAATTACTGATAAATATTGTGTAGTTCCATTTAAAAGTTAAACCCATATCTTTTTTCATCATATGACTGGAAAGTTCTTTTAGCTTTAATATAGTTTGAATGAGTTTATGTATTTGTAGAATTTCTAATAATATTAAGTTAAATATGGTCAGTAGAGTACAATGTATCAAAATATTTTAAATATGGTAGAGGGGTACTCAGCATTGCTGTCAAATGGAGACCCCTATAAGCAATGTTTATAAAATATTTAGAAAGATACTGTTGATATACAATGTGTCCCTATAAGCTAAAGTATCTTTTATTTAACAGTACAAATGTATAAAGCCCTGCAGTTAGACATACAAATAAGTTTCAATTTTGAGGTTAGGTTTGAATAGGTCAAATATGTGCAACAATTTTTGTGTTTTGCAAGTATAAAATAGATGTGGAACACTTATTTAAAACTTCCCCAAAATAAAGAGAATATACTTGGCGGGGTATGTATTTTTGTCAAAAATCATACAGGTACTAAATCCGTAGATGTAAATAAATACTGCAGTGAAATACATTACTTATTTATTTAAGAAACAAAAAGGCGTAGCTTAATTACATGTTTCTATAAAGTAATAATAATTATTAAACTAAATATGACAGACACACAAAAAAAATACACAAGTCAGGATTATTCATTATCAAACCCAAAATGAGATTAAAACACGCCAAGACTGCGAAATTTACCCTATATCTGGTTACCAGATATATTTAATTGATAAGGGAAAAACAATATTATTATAAAAAACACAATATCTGAAATGTATAGATAGAGAAATATAAAAACAGTTTATTGATATATCTCTTTTAACTGCCTTTTAAAGCAAGTATTTGTGACATTAATATCTAAGGTTAAATTTAAAGTATTATATAATTGACAAAATTTACTTATTTGTTTATTGTCTGTAACTATTTATTTATCATACGTTTAAACCATTTACAAAATACATAAGTTTATAGTACCTATAAAAATATACATAAATATAAAAATACTATGTAGACCTAACACATTTTTTATTTCGCCACTCTTTTCACTTGATACAGGGAAGAGTTAAAAATATCAATATTCTGTTTTGCTGCAAATGTATTAGCATTTCTCAGAAGTCTGCCCATACCAATTCCTCAGCCATAGTTCTATGAGCTTTCAAAGCAAATGTGGAGCTACCATGCAATGGCCTAGGTGGAATATAAAAATCTACACTTTACAAGAGTTCAGGAGAATCAACAAGGTTATTTACAAGTTTAAAGATAAATAGAAAATCTCTTCGGGAAGCTAACGTTTCATTATTTGTTGTGGCAAGCATATTTGTATAAGAGTACGGTAGTGGCAATTTAAAAGAACAATACATTAAAAATCTACACTGTACTCTTTCAAGCTTTTCAATATGAATAAAAAAATCGAAGAAAAGAAAAAATATTAAAGATAAAACATATAGGGACTTTAGACAAAGTTGAAATATTTCTGAAACTCCCAAACTGGAAGAGGTTATTTAATCTCTGCCCTCACATGGGTCTTATAAGATACTCAACTATTCGTTAAGTTATTTATATTTAATTAGAATGAATTTAAAAAAATTGACATTTTGACCATAACCTTTTAGATTCCTAAGTGTTAAACCTATAATAACAACTCATGCCCGAAAGGTTTTTAAAAAGAAAAAATTATGAAATTATTATAAAAATTATCAAAATCAACACTATCATCAAAAGAGAAATCCCAAGGTACTGTAAATTTTGTAAGAAATTAGTATATTAAATAAGGTAAGTCTTGTCGTAATGTAACGTTAAGATAATAAAGATAACTTGTTATAATAAGAGAAAAAAAATTGTTGAAAATGAACTAAAGAGAAAAGTTATTAATAATAGATAAATATAGTTAATAATAAATGCTTTGTGAAATATTTTTTCAACTAAATATCTACATAGACTAAACAACAACTAAGATTACATTTAAAAAAACTTCACTAAGTCTTTTTAAGATAAAGCAACTGTATGACATAATCAATCATACTTTATATACGGGTGATTCTCAGATAACTGTGATTTTTTATGTCCAGTGTTTATTTATCGTTTAGCATAAGTTTTCGTCAAAAAGTTATTAATATTATAAATTTAGAGGTATTTTACAACAGACATTATGAATTAGATCATAAATCTTCGTAATTTTTTTTTAAACTGCATATAAATATACTCGAAATGTCAGTACCGTGGCATGTCCGATTCTCATTTTTGAAATTAAATATATAAATTTCTATCAAAATTCATTTTCTAATATAAAATTTACCTCTTATAACTACAATCCAATGCATATAGCATTGAATTTTATTGCAATTTTATACCAACCTTGCGATTGGTAAAAAAAATAATCATTTATATGTCAGTACCGTGGAAATAATGTCAGTACCGTGGAAATAATGTCAGTACCGTTGCATTAAAAATTTTAAATTTTGTCACAGTTTTCGTTGTGTCGTAGCTGTAGTAGAACCACTTTGCAGGCTTTATTCTGTGCATAAATAGAAAACAAAAACGCGTAAAACATACGTTTTAAAACATTTTTAACTTTAGAAAAATGTAAGTTGTAAAAATCACAGTTACATGAAAATCACCCATACATTATCCAAGTGCATACAAAAGATAAGGTAAGATAGGATAATAATACAACTCTTGCTGTATTACCAAAAAGATACTAAAATATTAACAGGAAATTTTATCACATTGTGTCCCAAGAAAAAATTTAAATTCAAAATCCAGCGGTATTCAAATCAAAACTTTTGAATTAAAAAAATAACAGTATTATTATAAGACGTGAAACAAATTTATTCGTAGGAATTTAACTAACAGTTAATATTCATATCAAAATAAATTATTACTGCAAAAAACTCAACACCACCAATGTGATTCCTATAAATTTTACAACTCGTGTTTCGCCACAAGTTAGATAAAGATAAGATACAAAACTAAATAATTAAAGAATATATGTAATCCAAACTATCTAAATCTGTCAAAAAGAAAAAATATATATTAAGAGAAAACTAGAAAAAGATAAAGATAAATTCACAGAGATATTTAAAGGTAAAGATAATTATGATCATTTTCAATAAGGTAGTGATAAAAAAGTTTCCACATTCAGACAATAAAAAAACCATTAATGAAATGCAACGTAATGTCAGTATAAAAAAATGAAGTAAATTCCCAGGTAACTCTGTGTGAACCCATTTATTGGACATTGCCTAGTTAGCATCCACAGTAGCCATAGGATATAGCTGACAACAGGTCTCACATTATTATCTGCAAAAATTCAACATTTCCCATAGATGACATCAAAAAAAAAAAATTAAAAAGTTATTTTTTAACCTTATTCATTGTCACTATTGGTTCAATATTTCTAAATTAGGCAGTATTGGGATATTTATAGGTAAAAGAAAAAAATATGTTAGATAATAAAATTCCGCGTCATTTTCAGTTAAATTTACATTTTGAAATCTTTGCATCTGATTGCAGATTTTATAAAAAACCGAATTTGAGAAAAATGTATTTATGTTCAAAGAAATTAAAATACTATTTTTCAGTAACAAGATATTAAATATACTCTAATAGAAAATTTACACCATACGAAACAATTATGTAGAGTGTGATATCAGCATAAGAATATTAATTAAGGATTTTTTAACGTAATCAAAACAAATATTAAATGAAAAACAATTTAAGTTTTATATTTATTTAAAAATTAAGTTAAAATATAGTTATTTATTATACAAGAGAAAAAAGTATTAGATTTTATCTAGAGGTTGTGTTGTCTCCCGATGCGAAGGGGAGGGAGACAAAAAACCGAGAACTAAAATCTAATCTTTTTCTCGTGTATATTGCACTATTTTTTTCTGTGCCGAGAAAAACGACGATTTAATATTGAAAATACCTTATGTGTATATATATATCCGGGAAAAAGTACTCACTTTTTTCCCGGGAAACGGGAGAAAAAGTAATTTCATCTAAAGTGACATTTTGTTACCTGACAAGAAAGAAAAAATGTCAAACTTTTTTCCCTTCACAGAAAAATACATTTTTTAATATTTAATGTCAAGTTTTGGCCAGTTAAAATGCAACAAAATTAAACTTTATGTTTTTTCTGAGGTGTATAGGGTGATTCATTAAGGGTACCAACCAGCTGTACCTCAGAATCCCTTGAAGTAGAATTTTTTTAAAAGAAATGCAGAAACAGGTATATTTTTATTTCAAGTTAGACACCTTTCTATAATATCCTCAACTGTCATGTTATTTTTCGCTCTTCCGTCAGTCTAACCAATACAACTTAAATAGGGAAAGTACTAAGTATGACATATTGATACCTTTTTGCCAGACTAACATAAGCAACATTTGTTTAAATGGCACTTACGATAGTCTGGAAAAAAGGTATCGATATCACCAAAATTCTAATTTTATGGGTAATTCAGCAATATGGCAGTTCATACATTGCTTTTAATTTTAGCGCCTTCTAGTGGACAAAAAAACTGTTACTAATTGTAAAGTGTTCATTTAAAAGCTAATTTTTAATAATGTACTACTACATAATATACCAAGTGAACATCCACTAAAAATAATTTGTTTTCAATAACTTTTTGTATAGAAGTTTATCTTCACAAAAACAGCACATGATAAAAATTTTAACCTCATCGCTTTTGCATTTTTTTAATCTCGATTTTTTCCAATATGCTTATAAATAGAATTTGAAAGAGCAGTATGATCTGAACTGTCAATGATCGTGTTAGTAAACGTTTGCAAGTGTTAATATTACCCAGAGTGTGAAAAAATTAAAATAATTGCTAGTGATAGAAGGATATCACTTTTCTTTGCCGATACGATATATCGGCCGATACCGATATTTACGTGCCGATGTACCGATATATCGTATCGGCAAACATAACGCCACAGCTTATACAATACAGCTAAAACACTCTCT